ATGAACGTCCACGAAGCCTCAGAGCGCCCAAACCATTGATTTCCAGTGGGTTTTCCAAGGTTTTTGACTTCCTCGCCTTTTCGCCTTTCCGATGCTCCAAGACGGCCCAAGAAGCTTCCAAGACCACCCCAAAACGGCCCAGGAGGCCTCCGAGAGAGGCAAGCGCTCATCATTCAGACACGACTGGAGAGTTCGCGAAATTCGGAGTCCCCCGGAGAGACCCGAAGCAATTCTGGACCACTGGGCAAAGATATCGAGATGGCATCTATCACGGAAAAGGGGTTTGGTTGTACGAGGACTACATAAACGTGCAAGAGACGAGGGCGGCTTCGTCCGTGGCAAGGCATCTGTGCCAATCGTCAAATTGCTGGTTCAGTCGCTTCCTAGTGCTGTGCGACTCCATCGTGACGGTCGGGGTGGTGAGGAACATGAGAAGATCGTCTCGGCCCTTCATGACTCAGCAGAAGAAGATCGGCGCGATCACTCTCGCGACAAGCGTGAGGCTGACCCGGAAGTGGATCCCCACGGACACGAACCCAGCAGACGGCCCGTCACGAGGGGAAGGCGTTGGCAGCGCGGAGGTCACCAAGACAAAGGCCTAGCAGACGAAGGTCGTGCTGGACGACGAATGCAAGTTCGAAAGCCTGTTGGGCGACCAGATGGAGATCAGGGGCATGCACGACGACTGCGTCCAGGACTGGAATCTCTGAGTCTGCTGTTCTTCACGACGATCTGCAGTGACACCGTCAGGGTCAGCGCGGCCAGACAGGCGACCGCAGCGGACGACTCGAACGAGTGGTACGACGAGACAGCGGACAGCGACTACGAGTAAATGGACACACCTTAAGGAGTGAACTTGGCCATGGGAGCTCTGGATGCGCTCAAGTCGGAGGAACAGTGCCCAAACAAGAACCCTCGCAAAGACCCAAGAAGTCGTACGTAGGCAACTTTTCGTGCCCATGGAGAAGAAGGGCCCGCTGGCTTTCGAGAACGCCGCCGCTGAGAAGCACGTCACCAGGAGCTCCCCAGGCGGCGACAAGCTGGAGCGCCCCCTCTCAGGCTGCTGGTCCACGCCGTTCAGGACGACACGAACAGCGCGTACATCAAAGAAGTGGAGCCCTTCTTGCGCGACGTGTACCAGAAGCGTCTACCCTTCTCAAGCCGAGGAGAGCGAGATATCACGGTGGCCGCCGAGCTGAACGACCGATGCTCTGTGGAGCGGGGGAACCCTTGACTCGAGGCATCAAACTCCACCACGGCCTGGTGCACGTCTTCCCCGAGCGTAGGTCCGAGATGCCCACCGCACTGAGAGCTCTACACAGTTGGGAGAAGTACCAAAAGATGCGGGAAGGGGGCCTGGCCTCCGTTGAGCCGATCTATTCCATAGCACGCGAAGCCGTTCGGCGAGGTCACGTGGATGAAGGGATGCGTTTCCTGCTCGCTTGCGACTGCAACCTGCGAGAACAAGACTGGCTGCAGCTGAGGAGCGAGGACGTCCGCGTGAGCCACGGGGACCGAGGACCCCAGATCGATCAAGGTGGCGATCCTGGTGGGACGACGACATCGAGGAGAGAGTGTAAAGACGGGTCAGGAGCAAGGCGTGGCCATTGACGACCTGGGGATTGCAACGGTGCTGGCGAAGCGCGCGCGGTCCATCCCGACGAGCGCGCTCGTGTTCGACAATGTGGCCACAAACACTGTCGTAGAAGCTATTCAGCTGGACCGGACCAATGCACACGCTGAGACACAGTGGGCCGAGTCACGATATCCTGCACAAAAGGCGATCCATCGGCGAGAACCAGAGGAGAGGCCGGTGGACACAGAGTAAGAGCATGGCCAAATGCAGCAAGCCGCAATCGTTGATAGTTCCCAACGCCAAGTTACCGCCAGAAGTGAAGCGACTGGGACGAGAAGCCAAACATGATCTTCGAGATATCCTCCAGAATATCCCCTCGATCAGCCCGTGAAGTGCGGCCGGTTCGGCAGCCATCCAGATCGTCGGCTCACACGGCTCCCAGGCCACGGCGCCCATGGACGAATCATATTGAGATGTAACGGCTTCGCCGATGCAGCCCGAGCCTGCCCGCTGCCCGAATGGTCTCCTCCTCCTCGTCCTTCTCTTGTCCTGTTTACTATGCAAAAGCGTCCAACCCTCCCAAGTCCCAATCTTAGTGTGAACCGAAGTTGCGGGGTGCGGGGGCGTTTTTTCGGAGTGCTGGCCCTCGACGCTTTGAGTTTGACCTGGGCCCTCTTGCGAGGCCTAGCTGCCGCCGTCGGCGGCGGAGAAGCCTTGGGAATGGCGTGTTGAGCGTGCCGCGGTGGGGTGAAACATCATCTCTGGCCATCTCATCGCTCTGTCTTAGAATACATGTTTGTTAACGGGCTTTCTTCGGGTGCGTCTAGATCGGGCCGTGACTGGCCCCAAATCCAGCGTCAGTCTTTGTTCAAGGAATTGGCGCCCTGTTTTTGGCCTCGATTCCCCACCCTCGGGCCTCGGTGGGACGGAGGGGGGTGGGACAGCGAAGAGTGTGCTCAGAACTGCGAGAGATTGTCAAGTGTGTCAGTACACTTCCAATATTTTTACAAGCCCAGGCGGGGGGAAAACCCGTCACCCCCCCCCTCCCCCAAAACCGGACTCCCGGGATCTGGGGTTTTGGGACCCTCCGGACGGGCCTCGAAGCGGCCCCCCAG